AACGCTTGAGTAATTAGTGAGAGGCTAATGTATTTTTCACTTTAACGCTAAAGTGCTTACTTAGGAACTACTAGTGATCTGGACCATTATTTTAAAGCGAAAAACACGTTAACTCCTCAGTAATTACAAGTAAATTAATAAGTTATTTAACATATTTTATATCTGACATACTGTACAGTCATACATTTGTGTGAAGCACTAGTGATATTTTACCAGTAGGTCTTTTGGAGAGGGATACATTGATACTGACTGAACTGAGATCAATTGTGAACTAATTCAATCATGAGCTTGTCAGCATCACTTCCTAATTATAAAAATTTTTAAGTGAATTTTCATTTTTATTATTATTTTATGTTTAAGTTTGAACATCCATCCTTTGGTAAGAGTAGTAGTCACAATTTTAAAATGTAGCCGACTTATTTGGGGGATATCAAATTCATAAATTAGTTTCCACAAAGAACCCAATTGTTAATTTTAAGACGTTACTGTTGTGATTAGTAATTAATTGGTTATTCTTTATTAACTGGTCATAGTTCACAAGTAGTTCTCAATGAGGATATTTTTATTTAATAATTATCAAATATCTAATAAGGAACTACCTTTGTCATAAATTTGCTACTACTTACTGCTTAGTTAATCTTGCTTCTCTATTAGTTAATAGTATTAAGTTAAGTGTTAATGTAGTACTACCTATTACTTCCTGCATAGTTACTTGTTAACAACGGACCATTTTTCTAAAGTGTTACCCAATTCATTTGTTGGTTATTTTACAATTGGTAATACAACGAATGCATGACAATGTTTACACATTGACACACTATTTATCAAATATATTTGATACTGTAAAGCTGATTTGGCACAATCTGTATTGTTAAAAGCGCTATATAAATAAAGGTGATGAGACGACTTGACTAGACTAATGAGTGGAACTTGAAGGTCCAACTACACTCTAAGGCCCTGTCCCAAATGGCACCCTTCATGTGCACGCGCAGTCTTGCGGCCTTACAGTGTTCAACTTGTTTGCCTGTCCGTTAAGTCCACGAGACCGTATGTGTCCCATTTGACATTTTACGTTTCAGAAGGGTGTTTGCGAACACCCCCTTTGCATAAGATTAGTCATTATGGGTCACGCTCAAAAATTTATCAGCCTATATGTCCATGTCAGATTACAGGTGCATCTCAATAAATTAGAATATCGTGGAAAAGTTCAT